AGCCCTATAAACCCTGCAAGCCCTATAAGCCCCCAAAACCCGATGAACAATACAAGCACCATAGGCCCTATTAAACCCATGTAAACCCCGTATCACCCCCAAATGCGCCCTAGAAGCCCATAGGCAGCTCTAAACCCTGAATCCCTAGGCTGACACCCTAAACCCTAAACCCTAAACCCTAAACCCTAAACCCTAAACCCTGAACCTTTGGCAGGTAGTATTAGAGGGACCCTTGGGGGTATAGACCCTCTCAATCAGGTCCCTCTTAAGAGAGCCCTACAGTAGGGGTTAAGAAGGGTCCCCTTTAAGGGGTCTCCCTAATACTACTTGGAGGTTCATGGGTAGTTATAAGTAGGGTAATCCGGGTTATAACTTTAGTTACCCTAATTAAAACCCCACTTATAACTACCCATGAACCTCCAAGTACCTAGGAACCCTAAACCCTAAACCCTACACCCTAAACAAACCCCCACTCGGCACCCGGCACATGCTCTGGGATCAGCTTGAGGGCAGCTCGCCAAATCGATGGGAGGAAGTAGGCCTAGAGCTTGCGGAGTCTGGATTTGCTGCTAGGGGGTTTAGAGTTTAGGGGTTTAGGGGTTTAGGGGTTTAGGGGTTTAGGGAATTAGGGGTTTAGGGTTTAGGGTTTAGGGGCTTTGGCCTGCTTCGCTAGAATAGGTTCCTTCAAAGGGGTTCCTTTCAGGGATTCTACAGGGGAACCATGATAGGGTTCTACGATATAGGTCTGACATCATGCTAGAAGTAATTACATAAGAAGGGCTGCTAATTAGCGGGACTCTCGTAATAAATTCAGGGCACTTTCAGGCTTTGATCTTTCCTGGGTCGTGGTGTGCCGCCTGCAATGTTTAGGCTGTAGGAGGGTTAGTTGCCTATGGAGTCACGGTGATGCGCGCTTCCGAATATCATGTGCAACTTCTCATATGGGGAATAGTTGTCAAGCGGGCACGGTCCAAAGCCTAATACAGGGGCCTTAAATAATGAGAATAGGGTTTTGGGGTATAGTATACTACAATTATCATAAGGAAAACCCAAAGAGTATAGGTAATTATTAAGGCCCCTATATTTTTAAACATCCTAGAACCCGTGACCTGATTTGACATATGCCAAACCCCCAGCCAGGAAGCCTCGGGGTGCCTAATGCTCTCGACTGCACTTCCTCTTCTGGATCTTTCTGCACGTTCGTTTAGAGTTTAGGGCTTAGGGTTTCAAGTTTGGTTTAGAGTTTCGAGGTCCATGTCGAGCATTTCAGGCACCTGAAAGCCATGCATGAAGGGGTGACGGAAGACCCTCATGTGGCAAAGGCATTCGGGAGGGTTTCGTGGCTCGGGTGTAAGAGCTTTCACGGCACTTGCTGCTGGCAGCCACGATTCTAAATCCTAAACCCTCCACCCGAGCTCTACATCCGCAGCACCGTGCCATGCCAACACCAAGTTGTGCAGCCTATGCCCTTAATCGCAAAGCTTATCTTAAGGGTCCCGGAATGGGTTTGAAAGTGCATCCTCTATTCACCCACCCCCCTGCAGAGCGGGTTTTCAGAATTGTTCTGAGGGAGAAAACAACGAAGCACTTAGGGATTAATTTTGGTTTAGGGCTCAACCTTGAAGCACGACGCATCGACCCACAAGAAACAACTAGTAACTAGAGCCCCAGACCCTCAACCCCCGAAAACCTCAAAGCGCAAACCCGAAAACCGAAACCCTAAACCCTGAAACCCTAAACCCTAAACCCTAGCCCGCCTAAGCCCTGAAACCCAAACCCTGAAACCCTAAAGCCCCAAAACCTGAACACAAGAGGCCGGCCGAAACATCTGCCGTCTCGGCGAAAGCAGAAACACTGGCACCAGCGACCTGTGGAATCATGGCTTGGGGGTTTGGGGTTTAAAGGGCTTGGGGGTTTAGGGCTTGAAGCTTAAAGGGATTAGGGTTTAGGGCTTAGAGTTTAAAGGGCTAAAGGATTAAAGGGTTTAGGGTTTGGGGTTTAGGGTTTAGGGGTTTAGGTTGAAAAGGGGTCGTGTAAGGGTTCTACAAGGGATCCACAATAGGGTTCCATGAACACAAGGTGTAGAACAGTAATCAGAAGAGGGTTCCTTTAAAACGGCTCTTTTAGCCAATAAGGACCTATAAAGGATCTACTATATTATGTAGGGGCCTGAATGATTGGAACAGGCTTCTGGCTTTTTGGGGGGGTACCATGGTATTGTGTAAAGGGAAGTACGAGTACTAACTCTTCATTACAAGGCTAAGGTTCCCTGGTGGCGTAGCCGCCCCTCACTACGCCTCGAAATTCCCGTAGTGTCGGGGGTTTTGGGGAGCTCCTTAGTATAGTTAGAGTATAATATACCCCAAACCCTATTCTAAGTCTTTAAGGCCCCTCTAGTAAACCCTCAACCCCGATGATTCAGACTCCAAAAACCTGTTAGCACCCTGAGCTCCAAACAAGAAACCTTGTGCCGCAAAACCCGACGTCCGAAAAGAAAAGCACCTTCAACTCTTTGAATCACCCTACACCCTCTTTTTCCCCGAAACCCTACAATAATCTGTAAACTATAGGATAGTTCGACTCTGACCAAGGAACCCTTATAAATCCGTTATAGTAACCCTTAAACCCGAAGCCCTACACCCCAAACCCTAAATCCTTGAGCCCTTATAAACCCGAAACCTTAAACCCTAAACCCTTGACCACAAACCCTAAACCCCCAAACCTGAAACCCTAAACCCCTAACCCCTAAACCCCCAGCCCTACACCCCAAACCCGAAGTCCTTAAGCCCAAAACCCGAAACCCGAAACCCTAAACCTAAAAACCCTAATCCTAAACCTTGAACCCCAAACCCCAAAGCCCTAAGCCCCCAAATCCTAAACCTTCAACCCTAAATCTAAACCCTAAGCCCCCAAACCTGAACCCTAGGCCCCCTGCCGAGGCCAGGGTCATCAACTCGGCCGGTAGCCTCGCAGAGGCCTCTCCGGGAGCATTTTGATTTTGGGAGTTTGGGGAGGTGAGGGGTTCTTGGAGGTTCGTGGGTAGTTATAAGTGGGTTATAATTAGGGTAACTATAGTTATTACCCATATTAAGGGACTTAAAAACCTACTTACAACTACCCATGAACCTCCAAGTTGAGGGTTTAGCCTTTAGGGATTGGCTTTAGGGTTGGGGTGAAGGGTTTAGGGTTTAGGGTTTGGATTTAGGGTTTAGGGCTTAGGATTTAGGGCTTAGGGTTTCGGGCTTAGGGTTTGAAGGGAAGGACTTCCGGTTTCGGTGTACAGGCGTTTCAAGTTGCTTAGGCTTCCGGGAAGCGATTCAGAGGCTTTTTACAGTAGGGCTTACGTTTGTGTGTTCTGTTGGTGTTTCCGCTGCAGACACCACACAGTAGTTACATGTTCCCTAAACCCTAAACCGTAAACCCCTAAACCCCTAAACCCTAAACCCTAAACCCCTAAACCCCTAAACCCTAAGCCGTGTGCCTCCTCCAAGCGGGAGAGGTGTTCCTCGACTGCCACAGCACCGTCGTCGTTGGGAGGGCATTGGGCCTGCCCAGTCATGAGGGGGCTTACTTGACCCTTTAGGTCCATGTGGGTAGTTTAGGGTTTAGGGTTTAGGGTTTAGGGTTTTAGGGTTTTAGGGTTTAGGGTTTAGGGTAGTTCTCTAAAATACTGGGTCCCCAGAATAGTACGGCCCCCTTACCCTAAGGGTCCAAAGGACCTCATAATCATGTACTTGGGTTACGGATGGTAGCTTTGTAGCTTAGTGTTCAGAAGAGTATATGACGATTAGGTACTTGGACCTACAGGGTTAGGGTCCATGCGGGTAGTTCTCTAAAACACTGGGTCCCCAAAGTAGTACGGCACCCTTATTAAAACATCGCAGTACAAGGGACCGTAACTAGGGCAAAAAACTTAACTTAGGGGAAAAAACCCTGTACGCATATAGTGCGTGCAGAACTCTCCAAGGAGTCCCTGTATATGTACTTTTGAAGTAACCTAAGTTGGACACATGGACCCTTCTACCCTAGACCCCGACCTTTATGCCCACATAGTAGTACCTTGAAAATGCATACTTGGACCCTTCGTTGGAGGGTCTTTGGTCTTAGTAGGTAGGTAATAAGTAGAACTTGAACTTCCCAAAAAAGGATCCTGACAAAAAGGATCCTGCTTGCTATTATGGTGCTCAAGTAAAAAGGATCCTAATTGGGGTTCTGGTACTTAAAGCTCTCTAAATACTCTTTCAATACTTAAAGCTCTATAAATACTTAAACTCTATAAAATAACTAGAAACTACGTCCCCCAACCCTCCAAGTAGGGTAAAGGCTCCTTTGGGGTAAACCTTTCAAAAGCTGCAGGGCTTAGGCTTTGGGGTTTCTGGCTTAAGGGTTTGAAGGTTTAGGGCAGTAGGGTATAGGGTTTTAGGGTTTAGGGTTTTAGAGTAGGGCTTTGGCTTTGGGGCTTAGGGTTGAAGAAGCAGGGTTAGAATGAGTACCTTGATGCAGCCCCGGGGTTGAAAGTTAGGTTGATGATATAAATCCTGCATTACGTTAAGGACCCAAAACTATGGGATCTATGGCATATTCCCTAAACCCTAAACCCTAAACCCTAAACCCTAAACCCCAAACCCTAAACCCTAAACCGTTATAGTACCGCTGCATTTGCCTTACGCTTGATGCCTTGCTCCTCCAATGTAAGCAGTCCGGACTGGGTTTGGGGGTTCAGTTTTGGAGGGCCTAATATATGGGCCTTAATGATTAGAATAGGGTTCGTTTAAAGGCTTCCTTTAAAGGGATACCGTAAGGGCCATGAGAGTTCTAACCTATAGTATCGGGGCCTCAATAATTAGAAGATGGCTTGGGGGAGCCCACTATACTATGTTTATTCTGTCATTATTTAGGCCCCTATGTTAGGGCTCGTACAGTAATACATTAGGACTTTGTCGTCTGAAGCAGCTGAGTAGACCAATCTGCATGTTGATGGACAAGCTGCTTACTCCAAAGTAGTTTTCGGGCACTCATACAGGATTCGGGGTTTAGGGCTTCGGTTTAGACTTCACGGCTGAAGCTTAGAGTTGCAGGTTAGGGTGGTGTAGGATTCTGTCCATCAACAGTTGCAGTGCAACGGCCACCCCGATTCTCTGGCAAGAGCAGCCTCAAACCAGTCGGTGGCGGTCCGTGCCTCGAACTGGGAAAGGATTGATGTGAGCGGGAGTTTGGGGCTTAGGCTAGGGTGCAGGGTTTAGCGTTGCTATGAGCTTGAAATTCGGTTGAGACTTCCGATTTCTGGACTATCCTGAAAAACAAACGGGATATTCAAGGGCTCAGAACGTTAAATACGCTAATCCGGTTCACTGAAACTTTACCATGCGTGTCTTGGGAACAGTGCTATGAAACATGGTCATGTTAACAACACCCACGATCATCGTCATCCTTATCATCGCTGCCAGCACCATGGGCATCATAATGAACCTATACCCTAGACACCTAAACCCCTGGACCTGAAACCATAAACTCTAAACCCTGCCCGTATAGTATCCCCTATGATATAGATCCTTTTAAAGAACCTAAACCCTAAACCTCTTTAGCATGACTTGAGGCCATGGCGTGGATGAGCGGAGGGCCCATGTCAGGATCGGCTTCCAGTTGCGTGAACCTGTCGAAAGTTCAGTTTCTGCGACTGCTCGCGGCGGTAGAAGCCAGTAGTAGCAGTAGTAGTAGTGCCAGTGGTAATGGTAGTGGTAGTGGTA